GAAAAATATTTTAATTATTTAAAAAAATAAATGAAAAGCAACTTTTTAGTTAAAAAATTTTAAACATTATAAAAAAAATATCTTATAATTTAAGGAATATGGTTTTGAATAGTATAGCAAATTTGAAATACCATAGCTCAAAATTCTAAATATAAAGCTTTTTTGAAATTTTAAGTAACTATTTGCAAAAAGACTAAAGAAATAACTTTTGTTATTAAAATAATAATATTTTAAGTAATTTTGCTTTTTTATTTATGGATAAGAATTTTTTTTAATAATTATTTAAAATATAATAAATAATTTTTTAGCTAATCTTTTGTTGTAATAACTTTTTTATAACTAAATGGATTTGAACTTTAAATTTTCACCTGGTAACCTATGAAGCTTTATCATTGAGCTATAGATCCATAGGTCTTATTATATATAAAAATTTTTTTTATTATTAAAATTTTATTTATTTAAAAAGTTATTTATATTTAATATTTTGTTAAATAATTTTTATTAATATTAATTATTAAATATAATAATAAAAATTTATTCAAATTTATTCAAATTTTATTGTAAATAAAATTTATTATAAAAACAGATTTTTAATATATAAAAAAACCAATATTATTAATAAAATAAAAGATTATATATATATAAACTATTTTTAATTAAATATAATAATTTTTAAATCTTTTGTTATTTTTAAAAAGGTATATATTTTATTAAATAAAAATTTAAATAGTTTAATATATTTCAAACAAAATTTTATTAATATTAAATTGTTTATCAAAACAGTAGTTATAAAATTATGTAGATAATAAAATTTTTGTTTAGAAAAAATTATTAAACATAATAATAATAACTTATACAAATTTAATAAAAATTTTATGATAGATAGAATTTATTATTATTATTTTTTTTAAGTAAGTAAATATTATTTTTATTTGATTTATATATTAAAAATATATATTGTAAAAAACATAATATCTTTTATATTTAAATAAAAATTTTAATAATTTGATTCTTGATTCTTAAATTTATATTAAATTTAATATATGGATTATAAATTATATGTATAGTTACGAGTATCTACTCAGTGTTAAAGAAGAGAATATCAATATAATTTTGAATCAATTTGATAATACAATTGAAATAGATAGAATTTATTATAAGAAAAAAGTTTATTTAATATATAAAAGTTATAAAAGTCATTTTTATTAATAAAATAAAAAGTTTAATATATGATAACTATTTCTGATTAATTATAATAATTCTTAAAAGGTCTTTTATTTATTGAAAAGAACTGTATAAATCTTTTATTTTTTATTAGCTTGAAATTATTTAATTCAAGATTCAATTCTGACCATTTATTTATAAAAAAATCAATCAAAACATTATAAAGATCAATTTAAATTAATTAATTAAATTTGTATTATTATTAATTTTTAAAAAAACATTATTGATAGAATATTAAAAATATTTTTGTTAATTTGTTTAATTTTCAAAAAATTTAATTCATTGAATATAATACAACATACTGTATCTTGCAAAAATTCAATTAATTGATATCTAAGAATAACATTATGTTACTATTTAGATAAATTTGAATCTTTAATCTTTTCTTAATAATATATAAATAATCTTTATTATTTTATTTATAAATCTATAAATATTAATCATATACATGTGTATTAAATAAGGGAATATTAACTTTTATCAATAAGAGTACGGAATGTTGAATATATGATGAGAATTAACCTATGTGAATAAAAAATATTGTATACCTCGTGTTTACCATATTTAAAATTAAAAAAAAAAACATTTATTTTTTTTCAAGATAGATGGATGGATGGATGAATTTAAAAAAGTAAATTTATATTATTAACCATCTTTTCCTTTTTATTGATTTTTTAATAAATGTATATACAAATATGCTGTGTGTGATTATGATATAACGAATGGTTGGCTGGTTATTATTTGCTTTTTTTCGTCTCTTTCTTTTCATATATTTTTAAAGTTTCATATATGCTGTATATTACCTTCTTAAAATAAACATGGATTTTATTATTTTAACAAAAAAGTTATCGCACAGCGTATTTCTTAAACGTTATGGGGCATGCACATGTTTTCATAATCGATTTGAAGCTGAGTAATTAATTTCATCAACGAATACGAGTTGCCCATAAAAAATCCAATTTTCAAGAATTCGACGTTGAACGTCGGGGACATCATACAAATAGCAATTTAAAAAGGTTACAAAAAAAAAATAATAATCAGGTTGACCTTTTATGACAATTTTGCGCAATATTTAATGCGTCAATCAATCCGAATAACCAATAATAGAAAAATATTAACGGTTCTTTTTTTATATCAAAAACGCCATTGTATCAATATACAGGTATTTAAGTATTTTAATAATTTTTAAAATTGAGCATATACAGTACAATACATGATAATCGATTTTAGACTACTGGGTGGTGAATAACGCACGAACCGCAATAAACGCACATCTACTGCGGCAATATACTGTATATACAGTACGGTACATTATACAGTAAACGAGTGAGAGAATATCCTGAACGTTACATTATTCTCTTGCGGCGGCGGGATGCATGCGGGAAAACAAAACCGCTAATAGTACAAAAATGGGATTGGCCATTTATTTTTTTTTTTATTACACGTTGCTCCTATCTTTTTATTACGTACGTTCGCAATTTCACCACTTTGCGCACAAAAAAGGAGCGATTTTCTGATATCTCAAGACTTACACTACATCACCAACGTGAATATGTTTAAAAAATATCGTGAAAAGCAGTGAATGATAAGTAAACTTTAAACGTGAATAATCATAGTCAAACGTGAAATAGCGTCATGAGGAGGGGTGCGATGCGATGCAACATAATCATGTTATTATCATGATCCTATCCCTTCCTTCCTTCGCTCAATGCTAATGATCTTGAACTCCGTAAAAGTTTAATTCTTGTGATCGCGCGCCTACGTACATACGACAACAATCCTCGTCTGACCGAGAGTTGGAATTCTTCTTCATATGTTTTGGTCATTTGTCAATTGAACGATTCGCTCTTTCCTCAATAGTCAATGTATTGCAATTGATACTGCACTATACATATCATCATGCCTATTTTCATATGGTTATAAAACAATTGAGACTCGGTATGCATTACGAAAATAGCATCCGTCATGAACTTCTCATGATTTCCTTGACCTCACCCATAATGGCCCTGGTTCTTACTGGGCGAACAATCTCGTTGATTCATTGTCGCGCGATAAATAAAAGCGTACCGAGCGCTACTACCTTTCAGCATAATTTTATTTGACATTTTCGTATCACGCTTTCCCTCTCATTCCATAAACCCTGAGTTTCCCTATATCCACCTGTATTCGCATTGTGCCGTACGCTTTATTACCCCTGCTCACATTCCATTCACATAACATTGCAGAATTTTGTAGATGCGACTCACAAATTAGATGTTTATTTGATTGATTTTCATACTGTAAAATTACTTATTGTAGGTTCATCACAACACCTTTGAAATTCATACAAATAGCCATCCAGTTTTTTTTCAAACCTTTCACAATCAAAAAAATTTTTTTTTAAAAAAAAATCCTAAAAAAAAAAAACCTCACAGTGCCACCGCACCACCACTTCCACGATACATTAGTGAACTGATTGTTTCTCTTTTCTTTCTTTCTTTCTTTTTTTTTTCCTTTGATTAAAAAAAATTCATATCTTTATTTGAAACGATCTTGTGTTTGCTTTCTTCCTTGCATTAAGGACCGAAAGGAAATATTTCTCAGTGATTAATCCACATTGATATCCATTTTATAATCAATAATAATCAAATACCTACATTATCAATAATCATATCGACAGTTAACAATGTCAATGCTCGATACGGCAACCGCTTTCTCCTATCATAATTCTCAATCCGACTCCAAAAATTCCGGAGGTCTATTTAGTAATCTTGCGCTCCCATCCACCCAACTTTTATCCTCCTCTCTGGTTATGCTTCCATTGGGTGGATATTTTTCGCAGCGATCATCGTCTCCGGAGCAAGAGAAAGTTTCACAGCAACAAAATATTTCCTCAGCCAGTATTCCTTCACACTCTACGCCACAACAACCAACCCATAATAACAAACGTTCCTCACGGAAAGTCAATCAGCAACAACAAAGACAATCTTTTTCTTCGGCTATCGCTTCCACCTTGACGGTTGGTAATATGGGCAGCATCTTATCTTCTTCGAACGACGGCAGTAGTAATAACGACGTCAGTAGTAATAACGATACCACTAGTAATAACGAAACCGCCCCCAAGAAAAATTCACCGGCGATCGTCAATGGCGCACATCATCATCGCAGAAAGAGGCCATCCAACAAAATCATCCGTAAGAAAATCGATCAGGCGATCGCGTTCTCCGCTTATGCCGTGGAAGAAGATCATCAAGAAAATTCGGACTGCGCGCTTGACCTCTATTTGATGGCCCTTGAAAACATGTTGGAAGCCTTGCCAAGTATGTCTCATTTTACATTATTGTTTCACATATTCTCATCATTACACATCATATGATTCACACATTCCTTCTAAAATAGTTCAAGCCGATCAATCAAGGAGAGATGCATTTAAAAACAAATTAAGGGAATTCATGGACCGCACAGGATTGACCGAAGAATTCATGGAATCCAAGAATCCACCATCGTTGTCACCGGCTTCTGATCAAGAGGAAAAGAAATGCGAATGCACCTCATCAACATGGTCACCGACATCACAAAGCATAAAGGATTCTGGAATATCTAAACACATAATCAACGCTGCCATAACAAGCGCCGTGGCATTAAAACAATCTCCAATTCCTGACGCCGTGTCGGCAACTGTAAATTACACCATGAGGAAAATCAAGAACATCGATGAGGCCTACGGGTTACAGGATAAGGCATGGGAGATATCGAGAACCGGAATCAACTTGGCATTGGAAATTGATCAACAATACAACGTACACGAGAAAGTCGGTAATGCACTGTTTACGGGCTTGGCCGCGGCCATGAAAGCAGGCATCGCGTACAAGGATTCACCCTCGTACCGCGAATTGAAAAAGATGAAGGATCAGTATAGCGCGGCCGGTAGTGAGAAAAATGATGATGACACCTGTAATAGTAGCACCCAAGAATGCGAAGGTTGTTAATAGATAGGATGTATTAAAACCACCTCATTCATTTTTTTTTTTTTTTTTAAAAAAAAGAAAAAGAAGTTGAAAACACGTAATATATAATCTTAATCTTTAATAGTTGTTGCAACAACAAACAATTCTCGCTTGCATGATAAGATAGTCGCTTTCTAGATTTACGTTCGAATTCAAAATGGAAGCGAATGACAGAGCGTAACTTGTTTATGTATATAAACATTAAATATGCAACCTAATGTAATTCTACTGCCACACCATATTTCGCATGTATCGTCTATTTGAATTGATGAATTAAAGACATAAAGCACGGATTTTCCACCGGGAAATCGAGTCGACAACGTGTGTACGCGTTACTTTTTGTCGGATGACGTTCGTCATCGTTCTACTACGTGCAGACACCTCACTGGTTTTCCTGCGGCCATCAAACTACCAAATTTCGTAAAAACCGTTCACAATCTCACGTCAAAAAGCCACCAACAGAATGTCATCGTAAGCCGAATGATCAAATCAGGTTTACAAATTTCTCCAATCACTCGCATTGTTTCTTTTAGTCTTGACATTTGTGATCCAAATAAAACGATCTCGGTGGCATTATTGCTACGCACATAAATCGAATCATTACCAATGTAGTACAATTTATCGCCCAAATCAGGTATTGTCGTTCAAGTTGTATGGAAAAAATTTCCGAGTTAGATTCGCTTAGAATAGATCAGGAATGAGAATTAAAAAGAAATTTCATGTTGCGGACCTGCAAGCATCACGTATTACGATGCATACGTGTGGTTTAGCTTAGCCAAATGAGGGATGTAAAGAAGATAACTTTTTGGAGGAAAGAAATAAATGCCCACCGTAGAGTTGCAGGGGCTACATTAGAAAAAGTGGAAAAAAAAAAAGAAAAAAAATTCCAACATTCGGTGTTGTGTTCCCTCGCAGTCTCTCAAAGACGCAGGTTACAATGAGAACACGGACATTGTTATTCCTCGCATGACAATATCGAATTGGAAAGACAATTGCATAAAAATTGACGCACGAGAATCCGCTCGTTCACAAATGCAAGTTTTGTACTTTTTTTATACCTTGGTGTGCAAACATTCTTTCTCGTGTGCATACATCTTCGCGCGCTAAAACCCTTATGGGGACGTGGGACACTCGAGCAATTTTCTCGAAGCATTCGGCATTCTTGCGTCTCGGTCACAACATTGTATGCATATGAAAGTTGAATATAACAAGTTTTGAATATTAAGTGGACATTGATCATGTATCACGACTGCCAAAAAAAACCAGCCATGATTTAAGGTATATAGTTGATAGGAATAGTTGATAGGAAAAAAGAATATAATGACAATATACTGTACAACAATAACACAATTTGGATCTCGTCCCATCTTCACATGTCATTTATCATATTTATCATGAGATATATACGTACGTACTGTTAATTGGTACCGAGTTGCTCCTATGAGAGAAGGAATTCTATGCGCATGAATGAACCTATCCCGCGGACACGATAATAACTGAAAGGTGGCGGCTGTAAGGGGGATCAGGACAATGGTGACATCAATGTAATTATCGTGGATTTTAATGCTATGCTAGGCCGATTGTACTTTTTTCTGGTGACTCCCGTCTGCTTAAGGGTCTCGAAGATCCTACCGGATTTGCACAACTAGGATCAACCCCCGTGACGTACGCAGTAGACCTTCATTTATGCACACCGCCACCTTCTCGTAATCCAGTTGATACGAGAAAACCTACGCATGGTGGTCTCTGATCAAATAAACACATGTGAACTTTTAATTACATTATTGAGAACTTGAGAAAGCGTAAAATGCGATCCATTGTTAACAACTTTCATTGCTAATACATCAATTAGTTTTGACTTGACACAATCATAAGACAATAATATTATTTTCAAAACAGCATTAAAACGGTTGAAGATAACAAAAGTAAAAAACAAAGAATATGCGTCTTACTTTATTGAGTTAGGTTTGAAAGATAAGGAAAAGAAGAAGAAAAAAAAACCTGCTGTTCTCATAATGTTCATTT